ACAAACAGTCTGTGTGTGAATGCCGTAATAGTGCCTAATGTCACACGATCTGACTTCTGTTTTATTCGGGCATCATATACAATACACGTATGTGGACCTAATTCTGCATCCGGCGACTAACTGATATAGTATATGTAAGGGTGATGAGGTCCAATCAGTTTGTTGACGGCAGGTTTAATCTTTCACACAATATTGCTCGATACTATATTTGATATTGAGGTGTTATTCCACTTGTTGGGCATGCTTTCGTCCGACCATATTCTACAAAGAAGCTGATACATTCTCTTTATCTGTTCATCGCCGATGTATTTAAATAACTCGGCTGGTAATCAACCGCCCCCGCCATTTTGTTTTTCTTTAGGCGGGTAATTGGTATTCGAACTTCTTCATGGTCGGGCAATGGAACGTCTGTACCATCGTCATCGATTAAAAAATCGAGTTCACCATCTCCTGGTGTTATACCTTCACTGTAAGTCAGAAAGTTGGAGAAGAGTTCCCTCCATAACTTCAATATGCTCACTGCATTAGTCACTTGCCTCTGTCTCTGGGGATTCTACAACTGTAAGTTCCGAGCTTGAAACCTTCTGTCAGTCGGCGCATTTTATCATAGAATTTTAGAGCATTACCTCTATCTGACAGTTTGTCATTTCGATCTCTCTTTCTGTTTGTCTACAAAATTCGTCTCTCTCAACTCAGTTATACGTAAGGAGCTGAAAGCCGTTCAATAGTTATTTTTTATTGAGTTAAAGATGAGTGCTCTCAGAGAGCAGAAATGCAAATCGATCGGCTGTCTGTTGCGAGTGCACCTTTTTGACATTTAATCTTCCTTGTGTTTATTGGTGTGAGTGTTTTGCTGCACAGCCAGATAGTTTCATGAATTTTCTTATGTAGGAATCTAATACTACAGATAACCATATTTCGGGGCCCAGCGAAGTCGATCAGCCGCAACCCATGTGGGGATGTTTTATACTGCAGTCTGAATTTACCGACCGCTGTGTCCAAGATACTTTCATCGCTCACCTTGGCTTAAAATTCGGCAAGTATGATTTCGACTTCGTGGGGGGGGGGGGGCACCACTGATAGGTGCGCTCCAAACATCTTCTATCGGGGCGTGGGCGCTAATCAGCGATATGTTGAAGAACTTCGGATTGTGGCTAGACGTTCATCCACGGGAGTGAATGCCAGTATTTAGCAACAAAATCTTTCTGAGAAATGGCATCTTCTAATTGAGGGACCGGAAATTCTAGGGTTATGCTCTTAAATTGGAATCCTGAATACGTCTGCAGTGGTCGTAATCAAAAGGGGGGTCACTTTGTCATATGTCAAAGAATATTTTCTGAGCACTCCTAAGTGAATGGCAATCAGAGAACTTTCCTCACTTGCGTAGCGTCGTGACGTCAAGCAATACCAAAAGCTCCGTCAGGATCGGGTGGCACCTATCTGAGCGTCCGATAGCAAACGAGGTTCCAGACAAGGCAACTCCCTATCGTGCGATTATTCGAACTGCAGAGTTTAATCGAGCAGGAACAATCTTCTAAAAGAGTGTACAGCTGCTTAAATGCGCCGCTGATATTGATAACATTGCGCCGTTAGTTCTGCTTTCTCTAGTCTGGATAAGGAAGCGTTTACTTTAACTTATTAACACCAACAACAGACTGAGTAAGCAATTGAGAAGTAAAGTTCACTCTCGATGAATAAAAAAAAAATCTATAAGTCACGTATTATTCCCATCCTGCTTTATGAGGCATGGACAATAACAACATCTGATGAGTCGGCGTTACGTCGAAACGTGAAGAAAGGCCTGGCTTCGCTTAGAATTTTCAGTTGGCGCCACATTGCGAAAGAAAAAAACGACTGGCGCGCTCTTATTAACTCGACTATAACCGGGTAAGCGGTGTTTATGGCAATAAAGAAGGAGACGAAATTGTGAAATTATAATTCTGAAATTAATTTTTATGTGTACATATGATTTAATTATTAAGTTTTAAATTTGCTTCGCTAATTTGTGCAAGTTTTCAGTTTTCAGTTTTTAACATTTTCGTTATTTCGCTATTTTCGAGAGTATCTTATATATCTTAGCGATTTCTTCTTCTTATAGCTAGTAGTGGCTAATAGTACCAGGTTTTCCAATAGGGATATGGTATTTACTACGTTATGATTTGAAATTATTTTTTCGTTGTATTCAATAATATCTACAATTTCATTATGGAAAGATATACGCAACAACAAGGTTTAGATTAGATTAGATAAGTAAATGAGGACCTAGGGTCCGGTCTCCAATATACTGCTAGGCGCTATTGCGGCGATGCTATCCCTATTTGGAAACATGGATCCAAGGGCCTTAATCCTGCGCCTACAGACTGCTGTGCAGTCCACTAGCAGGTATTGTGGTGTTTCAAACTCCAATTCGCAGAAAGGCAATCTGCACAAGAAGCTAGGCTCATATTAAATAAGTGCATCTTGAGCTTGCAATGGCCGGTGTAAAAGGCGACAAGTAGTCTGAGTTTTTCCCTTGGGAGATAAATTACATATTTAAAGCTTTTGAGGTTGTAACCATCTATTAGCAACTTAGCATGGCGCATGCCTGGGAGTTGTCGCCAATGCCTCTCCCTAGATGCTGTTTCATTATTATGTAGAATCACCTTTACGGTGTGGGGACCAACCGCTATGAAGGGTACCGGTCCTACCATGTTGTTGGATTCTGCAGGGCGGGCACGCTCATCAGCCAGTTCATTCCCAATTATACCTTTGTGATCTGATACCCAAATAACGTGCACTTGGACACTCCCGCAATAATAACGTTTTTATCTCGTATGCAGAGATCGCTTTGAGTTTGGTAATGCTATCCGTAGGGGGAAGAGCCAGTGGTATGACGCTATTTAGCTCGTTTATACGTTGGAAAGAGTTTACAGTCAGTCAACATGCAGCTTCCACCTCAACGGGGATGTCAGCGTGAGACCTAGGTATTTGACCATATTAGTCAGTTCTATTTCTCTGGCCCGAGTGCTAGGTCCCTAAGACCAAGCAGAGACCTGCGCCTCGTAAACGGAACGATGATTGTCTTCAAGGGGTTGATGTTTAGTCCAACGCTTCTGCACCAACCCTTGGCCAGGCCTAGTCCCCTTCGTAAGATATCGTAGAGAGTATCCTCAAATTTTCCCCTGGCTATAATAACAATGTCATCCGCATATTTTTGACAGCGGATTCCATTGTTAGTTAGCAACGCCAGTAGTTCCTCCACGACGAGACTAAACAACATGAGGGATAGCACTCCTCCCTGCCGACAGCCTCTTGTACTTCTGAGACGAATACTGGTATCTCCTACTCAGATATTCTGTTGCGCAGTACGGCCGCCATCCATCTGCGCACCGGTGCCCTTGCCACGCTCTTGTGAGTCTAGAAGGGCTCATAACGTTACCTCCCCAGTTTCCAGCGAACTCTGTATCTCGGAAGATAGCTGATACAGAACAGTGTTGGTTATCAGGATTTAACCAGTAAGTAGCCCTTCCTTCTCACTTTCGGTATAAAGATAACTTTTGCTATACTCCATGGTTTAGGGATATACGCCAGCGCCAGGCTATCTCTCATCAGCTAAACAAGGTCAGTAGAACCTGTTTTCCTTGTTGCAGCAGTGCTTGAAAGATGCCGTCCGCCCCCGGGGACTTGAATTTAGAGAACGAGTTCATCTGACTGAGTCCGCAGTAAACAGTTTCGTGCGACTACCCAATCTAGGCGAGACCGCTTATTTTCTAGGACAGGTAGAGTTTAGTATTCCTCAATTGTCTCCGGGAAATTCGCATATAAGAGTGTCGTAGCTCTCTCCTCCGCACTGGTCGTATATAAGTACCGTCACATTTTTTAATCGTTTGAACTAAGAGTCCGAATCTCAAGATCCTGTAATCTGACAACATCTTCAACAGTGAGACCTTCCCCGACATGAGTTCATTACTCAGTTTGATGTCTAGCACTTCCTCCTGTTACTAGTGACAAATGTAGATTCGCACCGTACATTCTCAATTCTTATTATTACTAACAATAAATTCAAGGAGAGACTTACCTCGTGCATTGCAGTTCGTACTACCTCCATCAGTGTGGTGCACGTTCATATTTATTTCATTTTTGGTCTGGTGGAATCATCGATCCCTACTTCTTTCGAAATTAAGCTGGTGATACCGTTAGTGTCAATGGAGAGCGGTATAGATCGATGATAACCAACTTTTTATGGACGCAATTGCAAGAAGTAATAAGATACGATATAATTTAGATTTTGAATTTTTTAAGAGTGTTCACACTTTTAATAGTTTTCTATGAAACGTAGTATGGGAGTAAGAGTAGTTATGCTCCTGCTTTATAAAAAGGGGGGTATCCTATTTTACAAATTCTATTTGCATTATTCATTATTATTTTCCGTTAATTTATATAGCTTTAGAATTGTTTGAGACATATACATACATTAAATCTTAATTTGATGATATTTGATTTTTGCATTTAAGGTGAAGATATTTATATATTTTTGATGTTTCAAACAACCATTAGGTGAAGAATTTTTATCTCTTTATTTACAACGGTTTATGTACACAAGAAACAATGCGAAATAAAGCCACGTATAGAAAAGAAAACAATCATAATTGTATTATTGTCAAATTAGCTTAATTAAGCATAGATGCCACGGAAGTCCGATATTGGTGTATAAATTCATCATCCCATAAAATTAATATCTGGTAACTATATATATCATATCATATAATATCTACATACATACTCTAAATTTATATGAACAAGTCTTTTCACAAGTTGAGCGATAGAACAGGAATATGCCCACCAAAAAATTTTTGTTCATCTACGTAATATGATCAAAATAGGAACTAAACTGATCATTACATGTTTTTTATATTTTTTATTTTATGAGGGGACAAATTGCGAAAGTTTTTTATGTGCAACACGTTTATACAATTTTCAGATAAAAAGGTTTCTAATATAGCATTTAATATTTTTTACAGCTTTCAATTTCGAAATAACGCCTCTACGCTTAACTTCACAAGCATTCTGAGATTTCCTCAAAAAAACATTAGAGGCTAGCATCAATAACCTCATTATTGAAAAGTGCACTCCATTTCATGGTGAATAGTAATTTTGACCGAGCACCACAATGGCTGAAGCCGAAGGAGGTTCCGAGCAGGATGATGTTTCATTTCTGCGAACGGTAAGAATGCGAGAAATTAAAAACAATGAGGAAATATTCCTAAAAACTTTCTGTATAAAAACCTATTATGTTAAACATAATCCAGCATAAAATTTTAATTTTGTGTTTTGTTAATATTATTATTTTCGAATTTAATTTAATTCAGTGCTAACCGATGCTCATATTCTTGATTAACCTATCTCTAGCTAATACTGTTTTAACACACTGGTGCACGGGTCATATTATATATATACAATGTAGTTAATCCAGGTACTAAATTGTTTATATTATTAATAGGAACTTTTTTTTGCGCGGGGGGGGGTGGGATTTATTCTCAATTAATTCATGCATTAAAATAATTGAGCTGCTGGTTTTTGTTATTGATATTTTACATATATAATATGTGTTTTCGTTTCTATAAGAAACAACAATGAAAGTAACCTAGACTGTTACTTTTTCACGTACAGCTTTTTTTCAGTTTTTCGCCCATTCTCATATGCCAAAAATTATGTTAATTTCTTCTAGTAAACTTAAAAGTAAAATTTAAAGTCTTTTCTAAAAAAAATATATAAGCACTGAAAACATATCTTTAATGCTAACTTGATCTTTACCTTTAAGGGCTATACTATTTTTCTTGTACCAAAATGGCTATTATTTTTAACGAATTTGTAAATAAGTTTAGATGAACTCCCAGCGTGCCATTCCTCTCTTACTTTCGCTTCGGCGGTCTTAGTTTTACTACTCATATCATAATCCCGTTGAGAGCAGACATAGATAAGTTTTTCCTTTTTTTACAAATCAAAAAACTCAGAAGACAAAAAAACACGTAAAGCTTACACGGTTTAATCGGTAAAAACACTTACTAATAAGTTGCAGCAAAAATGAATATTTTAAAAATCGAAAACCAATACTAATATACATACATACATATAGACATAGGTGGTCTGTTAGCTTATTGGTCTATAAAACTGCCTTATAGCTAAAATTAATGATAAAGAGTTTACTTACAAATCATAGCGAAATGGTAATGTAAAAGTCATGTTTAAGTCGGTTGTTGAGTATAGAGAATAAATGAAATGAAGAGAAACTATAATACTTACATACTAAGTTTCATATTTTTTTACCAAAACAAGACAGTGCTTTTCGTGTTGTAATCAAAAATCTTCATCGTACTTTGAAACTGAAAACAATTAAAGCTGATTTTAGACATGATGTTCGAGGTGTTAATAACATAAAAAGTCGCATTACTAAGGAACTATTTGTACTAAATAATTTTTCATTGATCTTAAGCCAGATAAGAGTAATGCGCATATTTACAATTTAAAATATATTGGGAACGCTATATTGGGAACGCTGTTTCCGTAAAGAGTTCGGCCACAGAAAATCATAATAGTCAAGATGATGCATTGTCCAGAATAGAAAATTTTTTAGAAAAGGAAGTTAAACAAATAAGTAATTTACATAATATGATAATGCTTCTTGTAAATAAACTATGTATAGTACTTAGATATTCGTATAACCACATGAAATGCTAATGGGCTTTCCAATCACAATAATGAAATAAATTTGTTCCCTACATCGAAAAACATTGGTATAATGCTAATTTCTGAGTCGCATTTTAGCAAAACATCATATAGATATATACATACATAAAAACAATATGAATTTATAAATGCTAACCACCCGTCTGTCAGTAATTGGCAAAAACCGCTTAAATTAAATTCAGAAAAGTAGATAATGTAAATTTAGTAAATAAACAAGCCCCCGCTATTCAAATTGAATGTACATATGCATATCGATATATTGTAAAATTGATATTTGTGCAAACATTTAGGCTGTTCACGATAAGGTGGCTATCGGGTTATGTAATTAAGTATACAACAACAAATTGCGGTATGAAAAATAATCAACTTTGAAAAACCTAGGCCCTTGTTTACAGATTATGTGGTTGTTTGCTTATTTCCAGTGTTAGAAAGTCGTTGGAGTTTTACTAAATGGCAGCACAAAAAATAAATAAAACTAAGCGAATGGCATTTCCATTTAGATTATCTTATTGGAAATTCTGCCATTAACAGCTGTTTTTGTTTACAATTGCATTCTGGCACTGTTCAGGGCGCAATATATCTGCAAATTCTATACAAAGAATTTCTTGGACCCTTCAAATTCGGATTATTTAATAAGCACATACCTTCAATAAAGTCCATTTCCTGAATAGCAGAACTTATTTTAAATTCAATTATGTTGGTTTTTAAACTTTGTTTAGGCATTTTATAAGTAGGAATTTAATTGAACTTAAACTGTAAACAATGAACAGCTGTTTGTGTAAAAATAAACAAATAACCATACAATATAGGATGTTCATGGAGCCTAGAGGTTATTTTTAATCTAATAACCACATAACCCGACAACCACAGTACAGTGAACAGCCTAGTTGTTATTGATGTTACAGTTATTTCTTATTTCCTTCTTATTTCTTTGACTATGCACGCTTTCTCACTTAGGCTTTGTGCTGCTTTTACATGTATGTATGTATGCATTTACTTTTTATCTGCTTTTAATCTGTGGTCCCGTTATGGTTTCAAAGTAAACAAAGTCACGCATTCAATAGAAAGTTTTGTGCAATATTGTTCATTTTGGGTAAGATCTCTCCGTAAGAATTGATTTGGTTAATAACATTTTGATTTTTTAATTCTATTGAATTTATTTTGTTATTAATTAATTAAAAAAAGACGCAAAACTACGCCCAAAATAATGGGAAGGGTGCGATTCCAAAAGTAAGTGCACGACTAAGCACCATATCCGAGCCTTAGCTGCGACTAAAACTTTGGGTTGCGGGTAGATAAAGGCACAATTGAAATTGCCAATAACTAGGCAAAGGGTACAACAGATTTGCTGAAAGGCGTTTCACTTGTAATATGGTGCAAAAGTTCGGGTTTCAAAACATTTACCTCGGCATAAGAAAGTCCGTCTTGCATTTTTCGGAAAATCTAAGTTTTAGGAAAATGAGTTTAAAAAAATGATCTTCAGTGATGAGAAAAAGTTTAATTTAGATGGTCCATGGTTTGGATGGAAATCAGAAATATTGGCGTGATCTAAGGCATATTAATATTAATTAATTTCGTTTACATTTTTTACCCACCCTCTTTTGCCAAAAGTAAATAGTTATTTAAATATAAAACAATGTTTAACTATTAAACTGTTTCTACCAGAAAATCCACAACTGGCCTAGTGATCCTTTAAAAAGCTCAGACCTGATAGATTTTTTGTGTATAAAGGTATATCGCAACACCAACTTCACATTAAGCTTTGACTTAAACTGTGATAACTGTGAACTTGAACTTGAAATAAAAGATCATGGCACAGCAGAAAGAATGGAATCTAGATCACCACCTAAACAATCCTGAGCTTAATCTGTGGAAGACAACCAAATATTTAAAGTGGCCTACTAGAAGAAACAAGGCTATTGAAAATACATAGTAATTTTTAAGTAAATGTAAATACTATGTCCAAGAAAAATTAGCATTTGCTGAGTTGTATTCATTGATGCTAGAGTTCCGCTATAGAACGTTTTGGGTCCCTTGTTATATACAATATTTACAGCTGACCTGTCGATCAACAATGATTTAGAAGTAGCAACTTATGGTGATGATACGGCATTTATTACCACAAGTTTTAACCATAATTACATCTCGCACCATTTAAAAGTGTTAGGAGAGTAAAACGCGTGTTGACTTGGCAGTAAAAACCAGAAGACGGAAGTTTATTAAATAATGAACTTAGCTCCTATTCATAATGACATTTGTAAGTCTAATAATATACAGGGTGTTTCGTAAGATTATAAATGTACAATTTTCTTCTCAACACTTTCCCTAAATTGAATATTTAGGTTCATTACAAAATGTATATAGAAATTATAGTTCGTTGTACAACAAGAAATGAATTTGAACCAACAATACTACATATTCAGTTATGAGTAAGAGAAAATATTTTACTAATAATGAGATGAGACTAAATTACTTTAAGCCTAATTTATTTGACAATTGTTTTGTTTTTGTCACAGATAATGCTTTCGTAAAAATATCGGCTATCATTTTATCGGTGCCAATATGGTATAACTTAATTTGGCCATCTTCAACCTTTTCTTTGATGAATTTTTGATGTCTATATGCTTCGTTCTATTTGAGTATGAATTATTTTCAGCTATGTGTATGTATGCGCTCTTGTTATCGCAGAATAAGGTTATAGATTTCGAAGCTTTGGGCATCAACTCCGTTTCAAATCGCTTAAGCCTGATTGATTCTTGTGTAGAAGCCACCATTGGCATTAACTCGGCTTCAGTAGATGATAAAGCTACAGTATGTTGCCTTTTGGTAGTCCACGAAATGGCAGCATTCTGAAAGGATAAAATATAGCCAGTTGTTGAGTTATCAGTAGATGATAAGGCTACAGTATGTTGCCTTTTGGTAGTCCACGAAATGGCAGCATTCTGAAAGGATAAAATATAGCCAGTTGTTGAGCGGCGATCACTTACATCATTTGCCCAGTCAGCGTCGCAAAAACCAACGATTTCATCAGGACTACTCTTATACACTAAGCCCTTGTCGATAGTTCCCTTGAGTTAGCGCATGACACGCTTTACTGCAGTCCAATATGCCTTTCCTGGGTTCGTGCTGTATCGGCTTCACAAGTTGACAGCAAAGCATATAGCAGGGCGCGTGACCTGAGCGGCAAACAGCAGACATACAATAGCTTGCTTATAGGGAACAGTAGCCATTTCCCTTTTTTCGTCATCATTAGTTGGGCACATCTCCGCGGACAGCCTTTGATTAACGTCGAGGGGTGTGCTTACAGGATTGCATTCCTCCATGCCGAAGCGTCGAATTACATCGGCAATGTAGGAAGATTGGTCGATCTTCAGAGTACCTTCTTTGAGATTTTGAGCTATACGCATACCCAAAACCGATGATGCTGCACCTAGATCTTTCATTTTGAAAGTTTCAGAGAGCTTATTTTTTAGTTTT